ATATATGGAAAAAGTTTGAAAAATTATCGTTAACTGATACTGCGGCTTATAATCCGGTGCGGCTTTTGGTCGTGAAAATACGGTATATTGACCTCATCCTATACACCAGTGGATCTCAACCTTCCTAATGCTGCGACCCTTTACTACAGTTCCTCATATTGTGGTGACCCCCAACCATAAAATTATTTTATGTTTTCCGTATTTTTTCGAAAATATGTTTTCCAATGGTCTTAGGCGACCCTTGTGAAAGGGTCATTCGACCCCCAAAGGGGTCCCGATCCATAGGTTGAGAACCACTGCTATACACCTCCCTGTTTGGTTTGGATTCTCATCTCTGTCCTTTAATACTTGACATACTGCCTCAACTGTTCCCAACAACGTATACAGGAAGAAGAAGAGGCAAAATAATAATACACAAATCAGAATGGCTCATTTTCAACTGAAAATCAGAGCTAAATATTTTGAACCAGAACAATTTTTCTTTTAAGATCTTCCTTTTCTTTTACTAACTATATCTTTTAGAAAAGTTCCAAAGGTGCTTTTTCAAGAAGCAACTGGATTTTCTGGTTTTTCTTTGAAGACATTTCAGTTCTCATCCAAGAAGCTTCTTCAGCTCTGGCTGGATGGTAGGGAATGGAAAAATTTCTCCCATGAATGAAATCCTTCCATTCCCCACCATCCAGACCTGAAGAAGCTTCCTGGATGAGAAGCAAAACATCTTCAAAGACTTGGAGGACTGAGAATCTCCAAAGACATCAGTTAGAAATGCACTATAAATCAAAAGCTACATCCTGAGAAGAGTTTGCAAAGAAGAAAAATGCTAAAATTTTGCTTTTTTTAAATTTAAGGCTGCTCTGCATAGCCTTAGGAAGCTATACACCCTTTGCAGAGCTTTCAAAAAAATGAGGGCAGCTCTCCTTTTCTTTTTTCCTCAACAAAGTCAGCTCCAGTGCTTTCAGCCTGCCCAGGAAAATGGGAAAGGGGGCATTTTCAGATGCTGCAGCTGACAGTTAATTTTAACATTTTTCGTCTCCTTCCTCTTCCTAAAGTACCAGGCAAGGAGGAAGAAAATAGTAAAGATTAGTTGTTGCAGGGCAGGGCAGGGCAAGGCAGGGCAGGGCAGGGACTGCTACATAAGTAGAGCTTCCCAGATGTTGGCTGGGTGGAAGGTAGCTGCTTCACAGCCTTGGAATCTCTAGGAGGTTTGGATCTTCCCTTTGGAAGGGAACTTCCAAATTCCCTTCTCCCTTACTTTAAAGCACTGGATGGACAGGAATGGGAGGGGGGAGAAGAGCACACACTCACACACCTTCCTGCAAACAATGCAAGGAGGAGTGTTTGAGAGGTATATATGTGTGCTTCCAATGGAAGACTTCCTTCTCTCCTTCTTTAAAGCCCTTCTCCTCCATGTAGACTCTAGTGGATTTCTTTCTTTTGAACTGGTAGCCCCTTGGACAGTGAGGTGAAGACCCTGGCCACTGCAGACAGGTAGGACCTGAGTTGTGAGTGATGCAGGCAGGGGGTATCCCAATCCTGGCAGTTGGGGGGGGGGGAATGGCAAAGGCTGGGGCGAGTTGCTGCAATACGGCAAGCCACCAATGGGAGGGAAACAGTAGGAGGGAAGCTACCAGCAAGGGCAATTAGATTCCTATTTCATTATGGCTGCTTGGGAAATGGTGCCCACTTCTAAAATGAAGCCAAGCAGTTCAGGGACACCAAAGGACAGAGGGGCACAATTGGTGATAGGTGGAGAGTTGGGGATTGGAACCAAGCATATGGCCTTGGTTCGGGGGGGGGGGGCAGAGTGGCAGGGGGCACTGCAGCATCCTTATGGTCAATCTTAAGTGCAAATAACCACAGGGATGCTGTAGCGAACATAACTTTGAAAACAAATCGGGGGGGAGGGGAGTGTCTGTTATAAATCCCAGTGCATTTTATGTGTTTCAGGCAAAACCTGGGCTGATATCTATTCCATATTCTCAATATGGCACATCTAATATTTTTTTAGAGTCCACATCAACTTCATGTTTAACATACCATAAATATAGATGCCACACAAACCTTACTTTCCAAATATAAAATTATCTTATTTCTCAGCAACATTTATTTTTTTCATACAGACCAAACAACAAGGGAATACAATTTTAAATCCAGTAAACCCAATCCTCCTCTTTCCTTTGGGTTTTGCAACACTTTATAGTATCTCTTGGTTTTTTTCTCTTGAAATATACATTTAGATATATTTTTTGCCATTGTTAAATAATATATCTGTTGTGAAAACAGGCATTGCCTGAAACAAAAACATCATTTTTGGCAAAATATTCATTTGGATCAAGTACTTTTCCTGTTTTAATCTTTTTGAACAGCTTCACATAGCTCCCTTATTATTATCAGTCCATTCAAAACTTATCTTCAATCCTGGGTAAATTCTGTTTATAAAAATATTGTCCACTCTTTCTGAAGAAATTTATATAAAATAGTAGGGTAGTGATAAACACTTTTCACGTATTCATATTATTTGTTATGACAGTATCCCCTTCTTATAACTAATATCACTTTCTTCTTTTTTTCTTTTCACAACTTATATAGCAACCACTTCTCTTTCCCAACACATCTTTTATCTTTTGCAAATAGTTTTTTTCTTTTTTGAGAGGCATTTGTTCTACTTGTACTTTATGTTAAGCATTTGTAATCCATAATTAATCCAAGATTTTAGAAAAGTGAATAGTTATACTGCCTAATGTGGCATCTTCTTCAATGTCTTGCATCTGTTGTGGCATTTGTTTAGTCTCATCTGTCATTGTCACTTCTATTTGTGCCTCATCCA